ATTTCAATTACAACCATCTATTTTGGGTAGGATAGAGTCAAATCAACTATGTGGGAGACTAAATATTGAATATAACGGTAGTATCATGTCATCATTAATGATATAATATTATTAATTAATAATAAAATTTTAAATGGATAAAATAAACTCCACTTAAACTTACATGACAGATTAGTTATTAATTTTTATGAAGTCTATTTGTTTATTTATTTTAGTATTATTAGTTAGTGATACTGCATTACCTTGTCATGTGGTATTACCATTATAATGAATATTTTCTCGTGCCTCAATTGATTCTATATAATAAAGTATAATATAAAAAATAATTTCTATTTTTTATGGTTGAAATTGTTTTTAATTTATTTTTAAGTTAATNTCGTGCCTCAATTGATTCTATATAATAAAGTATAATATAAAAAATAATTTCTATTTTTTATGGTTGAAATTGTTTTTAATTTATTTTTAAGTTAATTTGAAGTCTAATATTAACCCCCAAATTTAATAGAAAAAATAGGTCACATGTGTTTGGGTGACTTTTCAAAAGTTTTTCTAAGACTTATATAACTTCTCATAATCACTTTTAAAAAAAGTAGTGTGTGAAACAATTTATTTAAATTACTTCCAAATAAGTCAAAAATAATTTTATCACCTAAATAAGTAATTAAAAATAAAAAAAATTAACCTCTACTTTTTTAAAATCACTTCTCTACAAAATATTTCTTCGCTACCAACACTACCGCCCCACTACCACTGTTGTTGCCACCCTCGCCACCGCTACCACCATCGCCCTACTACCACCACTCCCTCCCTCCCCTCCCCCACACCCCATGACCCTACCATCACCACTACCAACCCCACCTGTTAGAGTATGTGTGGCTCATATTTGCTGTGTGCATAATGACAAGGAGGTAGATNTTATTGATTTCTCATGTGACTCACTGTTAGAGTATGTGTGGCTCATATTTGCTGTATGCATAATGGCAAGGAGGCAAATGCTGGAGCGGGCGGAGCCCACGACGGCATCTATCTTGCGGGATTTATATAAAAGGAACGTTGATTAGTTGGGGGTGCGGGGGCAACGCCCCCGCGGTATGGTACATGGGTATTTTTGTAAATACGTCCATATTAGGGTTATATAAATACTTAAGATGTAACCCTATTCAATAATGGAATAGAACGGCCACTCGCTCTTGTAGATGTAGGCACATTGCCGAACCACGTAAATCTTTGTGTGTTATTTTCTCCTGCTTTCTTAATTGTTTGATTTCTTACTATTCACCATAATTGCTGCACGATCACAACACTCACTGTGACTTGATTCAAANTCCATCACATTAATTCTTGACATAAAAATTTAGAAAGTTTGCACCACATGTTTTAAGTTTCAACCTATACACTGTGTATTGATTAATATGTACTGATAGGAGCCCATACCAACCCCAAGAATTATTGATTTCTCATGTGACTCACTGTGACTTGATTCAAAACTATACGGATTGTGAGGCATACACAAGTGCCTGAAGAAAATCAGGTAGAATTTGGCATACATGTACACTTTTTGGGGGTATCGTCACATCACCGAATAAATATTAAGTGTAACAATAACATTACGTTATTATTGTCAAATGATATAATCATTTAATAAAAATATAATAAGTGAGCAATGGATCTCATAATTTAATAACTACTCGCGTAATCTAATAACTACACTATGTAAAGCAATGAGATTCATTTTATCCAATTTAGTGTGCTCCTATTGCATCACGTGATATTATTGATATAGTATAATCATTATACTGAATATTTATTGACGAGGGATGATTCTACATAAAGAAGGAAATGTTGTGAAGCCAGACGCGATGATGAATTTAGATGCCTTAATTTATTTACAGAGATGATGTTTGGAAGTTTCTCTTCAGCGGCCAATGTCCTAGTGCTTCATTTGAACACCAGAGAAAGAGAGAATTATTTTTTATTTGGGTTGAAGACTTCTTTATTGAATATTAGTAGATGCACACATACGTTGCATGTGAAGTATTTTAATTTGTAAGTTCAATTTTTATATTGTGAAAAACTATTTGATGCAACTTTTGTATCCCTCTTTATACATATCTTCGCATTACCAATTTTGATGAGTTATATATTCTCTCTTGAAAAATAAAAACACTAAAATTACGTGTATTTATTTGTCAAAAAGATAGATAAAAACTACGCTCAATGCATTTTAAATAAAAAAAATAGCACAAACAATAATAATAAGAATTAACACTAAAGTTGCTAGAATTAACTAAAAACAAATGCATTTTAAATAAAAAAAATAACACACACAATAATAATAAGAATTAACACTAAAGTTGCTAGAATTAACTAAAAACAAAGACAATCTTCCCATAGTCCTTTTAATTTAACATCATGTAATAATGAGCCATGAAGTAAATACTCTCGTTGAGATTAACATCCCATATTTCAATCCAACACTACTGCAAATAACATATGTGGAAAATGAATGAGGTTGGAATCCACAATCACCTACAAATGAGAGTGAAACCACATCACTGGGCCACTCCTTTACTTCATTATATTCTACCCTTTTTTTTTTCATAATTCATTACATTCTACCTATATACACAAGTAATTGGAAACATAAGTTTCATATTCTATGAATGAACTTGATTCCAGTTCTTCTATAAAACAATTCATAGTCGTGTATACATGTATCATAGAAGAAAAGAAAATGATAATAGGATTAATAAATAGTATATTTGGTGATGAATTATATATAATTCTTTTTTTTATATAAGAGTGATCAATTATATATAATCAGCTGAATATTTTTCAATGCGTTGTCTATAATCAACTCTTTATTTTTGACTCTTTGTAAGTAGATCACATCCATACACGTTTTTGTGTTCGTTCTTTAACTAAACTGTGGCTAAATCCGAAAAAGGGAAAGTAACCAAATTAAGAGCAAGTTAGTGGTTAAAAAAATCAATTAAGTCAACCAATATAAATGCTAAAACACCAATATTTATATATATATATATATAAATTCAACGATAAAAAAATAATGAAAAATGCTGCAGAAAATTAAACTATTGAAACTTACCTTTGTTGTTGTATCAAGATCTGAAAGTTTGATAAGAAACATAACCATAAAGTAAGACCATATTATAACACTAAGTTTTAATACAACTACCAAAAAAAAATGTATCGTAGTTGTAACTAATAGTATTGACACCTGAAACAACAACACTTTTTTTCCTTTCCCATATACAAGCTTCGATGAGCAGACATTTCTAAATACTCTGCCTATCATAAAAAAAAAAAAAAAAAAAACCACTAATAAGAGGGGGACATTATAGTCAAATTTGATTTTAATCAGATTAAATTTTAATACATAAAAAGATGAATTTTTATTTGCTCGAATTTTACACAAATTTTATATAAAAAAACTATTTGGGGGTTTATATAGGGGCAATTTTGGTATTTTTAATGATTTTCTTTTTATTAAAAAGGTTAGTTTAACGATAAGGAGTGTCAATGATATTTAAATATAAATTAAAAAGAATGTCACTGCATAATAGAAAGAGGTCTCATTGACATATACCTTTAAAGAGTGTGAAAGATAATTACTCTCGATTTTTTCATGGCTCGTAATGTGTTTAACCTCACGGTAGTCCTCTTTTTCGATTTTTAATTTTATCAAATATGTTCATCATTCATAACCTGTAGTTTTCCTAGCACTTCACACTCTCTAAGAGATGTCGGATAGAGTACATAGATGAAAAATTACAAACTCCATGTATTGCACGAGACGATTACTAATAATATTATGTATAAACCCACAAGTCAGTCCTTTTGGACCACCACCTTCGCTTCCAAAACATTTATCAGTTTAAGCCATCTTCGGAGGGTTTTCAAACCTTGGATTGTGGGTTCATCTTATAATTACTTGTGTAAAAGAGTTCATCTTATAACGTTGTAAATTTTTTATTATACGATAAGTCCATATAACAGTGATAACGTGATATTATTGAGATAATGAATATTTGCTCATGCTTAAGCAATGGTTGATTATCAAAATTCTTTTTCAAATAAGAGCCAACATATAAGTTGAGTGTACTAGTTGGACACGTATGAAAGACACAAGACTACTTACAACAACTTGGTTTGAATATTTGCTCAGCATGGGCCGTTCTCACGTTGAATAACGCTCATAGTAGAAGCATTATGGGAGCCTCTTATATTTTATATGACTTTAGCAAGATATTATGAATGTTACTTATCAAACCACAAAAATATGTGAACGTCGTTTCCTATAATACTCCTTTATTTGTGTTTAATTTGTAAATCTAACACATTTAAATTAATCATTAAATCATGGTACAACCTAGGAGTGGGAGAAAAAATTAATACCTTAGCTAAATGTCTTTTATGATGGAAGAATTGCAATTTAGCACCGAGCAATGTTACAGGAATTTTATTTAGAGATATTATTTAGGAATTAGTTATGAATTTCAATGTTAGATATAACTAACAAATAATTCAATAATTGTAAATTATTAAGTTCCTAAATAAATTTCAAATAACATTTTTTTTTTGCAGGTTACAAGTACAAAAAAGTAGGAGTGTCAATTTTATCGATTAACATTAACTCGTCTCCATACAAAATTTGAAAATAATACGATTAGTTGACACAAATAATAAATTGATCAAATTAAAATTCAATACAAATAACACAATTAATAAATATTGTAAAGAGAAAATAAGTATTTAACGAGTTAATATTTATTGGGATCCATTATCTATTCAATAATTGAAATTATCAAGTCTAATTTTTAAGTCTATGTAATATTACTCGACTAAGAAATAAAGAGCGGACCAGAGAATGGGTTGAAGATAACTTTTTATGTTTGGCTAGTTAAAATAGGGAAAAGATAAGAAATACAGGACGGATCGGAGATCCTCAAAACTACAACAAAATAGAGTACAAATTACAATCACCGACCATCTTCTCTGATCTCTTGGACAAAAGCCTTGAGATTTTTGTTCGAAGATCCACCTTCCTTCACTGCTTCCCTCGCCAAATCTTTCCATCTCTGAGCATTTCTCCTCATTTCTTCTCCTTTTTCTCCACCTCCCATAACCATCTCTATACATTGTTTAAGCTCACCACCCTCGACAATTTCTTCTCCACTTGGCTTCACCCTCACCCCGGTCTTCCACACATCTTCAATCATTTTAGCGTTAGTCGTCTGATCGGACCAATGAGGAAACGCCACCACCGAAACCCCAGAAACCAAGCTCTCCAATGTAGAATTCCACCCACAGTGTGTGACAAAACACCCCAGTGAAGGGTGTGATAATACTTCCAATTGAGAACACCATGGCACTACCATCCCTTGTTGCTCCAACTCCTCCATGCAACTTAGTTTATCTTCTTCTCTCTCCTCTTCTCCGTTCTCCTTCGCTCTAACTACCCACAAAAATGGCCTATAAGTCTCTAACAACCCTCGTGCGATCTCTTCCATTTGCCTCTTTGATAGAGACAAAATGCTTCCAAACGATACGTAAACAACCGATGATTTAGGCTTCGAGTTCAACCACTCGGTATACGCGTTTGATTTCTCAAAAAGGTCACCCCCAAAAGAAGTGTCTGATGGGTCTTTTCCATCTAAGAAGGCAGAAGGAATTAGCGGTCCAATCCCAATCAAATTGTACTTATCGATGGCTTTTAAGGCCTCTGGTTCTAGTGCATCGAAAGAGTTAACAAGAACTATTGGGTTGGTTTCTTCATCTAGTGTTTCAAACTGCTCTTTAAAGTGTTGGAGAGCATTGAATTTGTCTGAGTTTGAAGGAAGTATAAAGGAGGGAAGGTCCTGGCTTTTTATCAATGTCAGTCCTGGTAGCTCAATTGACCATGATGGGTCTTTACAATTTTCAACACTGATATCAAAACCGGCATGAAAGTAATAGTAGTATATATGCAAAACTGTGGCTGGTTGAATCCAAAGAAGTGCAGCTGGGATGTGAACCTCACGCGCCACCTCTGCAGCCCAGGGGAGGAGGAGGTTGTAGACCAAACAAGTAATCGGACGGCCTTCATTGGCACTAGTTTTGATGATTTCTCTGAGAGTTTGTGATCCACGGTTCTTAATCTCTGAGACGTATTTTTTGGGATCAATATCACTTCGTTTGAAATTATCATCATAACCGTCGAAGAAGGTGGCGAAATTCAAATCTTTGGGTGGTCCGGTGGTTTTGGTCATACGGCGGTGGGCGTAGAGGCTGGTGACAAAAGTGACCTCCACGCCCGTCTGAATGAGTTGCTTGGCGAATTGGATAGATGGATTGATGTGGCCTTGTGCCGGAAATGGTACAAGAAGGATGTGGCGGCGCACCATGGCGGCGGCGCGAGGTATTCCTTTAATCTAACGTATAACAAAGATAGTATTTGTTTACTTAAAGTTAGGAAGTCTGCAATGAATTTGTGGGTCGGAAGTGGAAGAGATTTGTACGGGGGGCCTTAACATTATATGGGGATGAGAGTTGGACACTTGACGTTTGAGATGACGACTTTGAGAACAGGGTGTAAGATTTCAACACATTGGGAGCTGATTTCAACACTTTGGGAGCTAATTTCAACTCCTATTCACAGGACTTGACGCCTTTGTCCAGGTGACATACTTCGGCGACTATTATTGGGAGCTAAAAACTTCTGAATTGCCAACTTCATATTTTGTGCTTTCTTTTTTCACAGCTCCTTGAATGTTGCATGCTTGCTCTGTTTTGAGGAGTTCAATCTACGAGCAAGAAAGGAACTACTGGCTCCTTCTTCCATTAGTTCTCCCACTCCTCAATGAAGCTGGAGGACGGTGAATGAACAGAACAGTAAGTTGGTTTTGTGCTTTTCATTCGGCTGTAGGCAATGCCAGTGTGTTTATTCCTCTGTTTTTGAATGTACAGTTCCATGTTGATGGAAGACTCTTTGCTTTCTTTGTCTCTTACTAAGTCTAGATTCTATTGAAAGTACTAGCCCAAGACTTGCACTTTCTTTAGAATTCTAGACTCTTGGTTTTGTTGTAAATTTTTTGGTTCTACTTTTGTAATGGGTGGATACGTTGTCATGTGAGCATCACTCTCTGTTTTTTGATCTTGTATTTCTCCTTCTTTCTTTATGAATATAATTTGCTTTCCGTAAGTTAAAAACTTCTAATTATACAAGGATTCATACAATATTAGATTAAGAAATAATAGAAAATAAACAAAAAGAATCATCAATTATTTTCAATATATACCAGCTAAACGAATTTATTTTGTAAAATCATGTTGTTCATGTTTGATATTAGTCCAATTCATTAATTATTCCTGTTAATATTTTATGTAAATTTTCTAGTTGTCTTTGCAAATCTGATAAAGTCTATATTGATTGTCCTCTTGCATTAGCATGAGCTGTCTTGGTCTATCCATCACATTAATTCTTGACATAAAAATTTAGAAAGTTTACACCACATGTTTTAAGTTTCAACCTATACACTGTGTATTGATTAATATGTACTGATAGGAGCCCATACCAACCCTAAGAATTATTGATTTCTCCTGTGACTCACTGTGACTTGATTCAAAACTATACGGATTGTGAGGCATACACAAGTGCCTGAAGAAAATCAGGTAGAATTTGGCATACATGTACACTTTTTGTGGGTATCGTCACATCACCGAATAAATATTAACTGTAACAATAGCATTACGTTATTATTGTCAAATGATATAATCATCTAATAAAAATATAATAAGTGAGCAGTGGATCTCATAATTTAATAACTACTCGCGTAATCTAATAACTACACTATGTAAAGCAATGAGATTCATTTTATCCAATTTAGTGTGCTCCTATTGTATCACGTGATATTATTGATATAGTGTAATCATTACACTGAATATTTATTGACTAGGGATGATTCTCCATAAAAAAGGAAATGTTGTGAAGCCAGACGTGATGAATTTAGATGCCTTAGTTTATTTACAGAGATGATGTTTGGAAGTGTCTCTTAGGCGGCCAATGTCCTAGTGCTTCATTTGAACACCAGAGAGAGAGAGAGAATTATTTTTAATTTGGGTTGAAGACTTCTTTATTGAATACTAGTGGATGCACACTTATGTTGCATGTGAACTATTTTAATTTATAAGTTTAAATTTTTTGTTGTGAAAAACTATTTCATGCAAATTTTGTATCCCTCTTTATACATTTCTTCACATTACCGATGAGTTATATATTCTCTCTTTAAAAATAAAAACACTAAAATTACGTGTATGTATTTTTCAAAAAGATAAATAAAAACTACGCTCAATGCATTTTAAATAAAAAAAAATAGCATACGCAATAATAATAAGAATTAACACTAAAGTTGTTAGAATTAACTAAATACAAAGGCAATCTTCTAATATTCCTTTTCATTTAACAGCATGTAATAATGAGCCATGAAGTAAATACTCTCGTTGAGATTAACATCCCATATTTTAATCCAACACTACTGCAAATAACATATGTGGAAAATGAATGAGGTTGGAATCCACAACCACCTATNTCATCACTGGGCCACTCCTTTACTTCATTATATTCTACCCCTTTTTTTTTTCATAATTCATTACATTCTACCTATATACACAAGTAATTGGAAACATAAGTTTCATATTCTATGAATGAACTTGATTCCAGTTCTTCTATAAAACAATTCATAGTCGTGTATACATGTATCATAGAAGAAAAGAAAATGATAATAGGATTAATGAATAGTATATTTGGAGATGAATTATATATAATTCTTTTTTTTATATAAGAGTGATCAATTATATATAATCAGCTGAATATTTTTCAATGCGTTGTCTATAATCAACTCTTTATTTTTGACTCTTTGTAAGTAGATCACATCCATACACGTTTTTGTGTTCGTTCTTTAACTAAACTGTGGCTAAATCCGAAAAAGGGAAAGTAACCAAATTAAGAGCAAGTTAGTGGTTAAAAAAATCAATTAAGTCAACCAATATAAATGCTAAAACACCAATATTTATATATATATATATATAAATTCAACGATAAAAAAATAATGAAAAATGCTGCAGAAAATTAAACTATTGAAACTTACCTTTGTTGTTGTATCAAGATCTGAAAGTTTGATAAGAAACATAACCATAAAGTAAGACCATATTATAACACTAAGTTTTAATACAACTACCAAAAAAAAATGTATCGTAGTTGTAACTAATAGTATTGACACCTGAAACAACAACACTTTTTTTCCTTTCCCATATACAAGCTTCGATGAGCAGACATTTCTAAATACTCTGCCTATCATAAAAAAAAAAAAACCACTAATAAGAGGGGGACATTATAGTCAAATTTGATTTTAACCAGATTAAATTTTAATACATAAAAAGATGAATTTTTATTTGCTCGAATTTTACTCAAATTTTATATAAAAAAACTATTTGGGGTTTATATAGGGGCAATTTTGATATTTTTAATGATTTTCTTTTTATTAAAAAAGTTAGTTTAACGATAAGGAGTGTCAATAATATTTAAATATAAATTAAAAGGAATGTCACTGCATAATAGAAAGAGGTCTCATTGACATATACCTTTAAAGAATGTGAAAGATAATTACCCTCGATTTTTTCATGGCTCGTAATGTGTTTAACCTCACGATAGTCCTCTTTTCCAATTTTTAATTTTATCAAATATGTTCATCATTCGTAACCGGTAGTTTTCCTAGCACTTCACACTCTCTAAGAGATGTCGGATAGAGTACATAGATGAAAAATTACAAACTCCATGTATTGCACGAGACGATTACTAATAATATTCTATATAAACCCACAAGTCAGTCCTTTTGGACCACCACCTTCGCTTCCAAAACATTTATCAGTTTAAGCTATCTTCGGAGGGTTTTCAAACCTTGGATTGTGGGTTCATCTTATAATTACTTGTGTAAAAGAGTTCATCTTATAACGTTGTAAATTTTTTATTATACGATAAGTCCATATAACAGTGATAACGTGATATTATTGAGATAATGAATATTTGCTCATGCTTAAGCAATGGTTGATTATCAAAATTCTTTTTCAAATAAGAGTCAACATATAGGTTGAGTGTACTAGTTGGACACGTATCAAAGACACAAGACTACTTACAACAACTTGGTTTGAATATTTGCTCAGCATGGGCCGTTCGCACGTTGAATAACGCTCATAGTAGAAGCATTATGGGAGCCTCCTATATTTTATATGACTTTAGCAAGATATTATGAATGTTACTTGTCAAACCACAAAAATATGTGAACGTCGTTTCCTATAATACTCCTTTATTTGTGTTTAATTTGGAAATCTAACACATTTAAATTAATCATTAAATCATGGTACAACGTAGGAGTGGGAGAAAAAATTAATACCTTAACTAAATGTCTTTTATGATGGAAGAATTGCAATTTAGCATCGAGCAATGTGACAGGAATTTTATTTAGAGATATTATTTCGGAATTAATTATGAATTTCAATGTTAGATATAACTAACAAATAATTCAATAATTGTAAATTATTAAGTTCCTAAATAAATTTCAAATAACATTTTTTTTTTTTGCAGGTTACAAGTACAAAAAAGTAGGAGTGTCAATTTTATCGGTTAACATTTACTCGTCTCGATACAAAATTCGAAAATAATACGATTAGTTGACACAAATAATAAATTGGTCAAATTAAAATTCAATACAAATAACACAATTAATAAATATTGTAAAGAGAAAATAAGTATTTAACGAGTTAATACTTATTGGGATCCACTACCTATTCAATAGTTGAGATTATCAGTCTAATTTTTAAGCCTAGTTTTTAAGTCTATCAAACATTACTCAACTAAGAAATAGAGAACGGACTAGAGAGTGGGTTGAAGAGAATTTTTTATGTTTGGTTAGTTAAAAGTAGGGAAAAGATAAGAAATACAGGACGGATCGGAGATCCTCAAAACTACAACAAAATAGAGTACAAATTACAATAACCGACCATCTTCTCTGATCTCTTGGACAAAAGCCTTGAGATTCTTGTTCGAAGATCCACCTTCCTTCACTGCTCCCCTCGCCAAATCTTTCCATCTCTGAGCATTTCTCCTCATTTCTTCTCCTTTTTCTCCACCTCCCATAACCATCTCTATACATTGTTTAAGCTCATCACCCTCGACAATTTCTTCTCCACTTGGCTTCACCCTCACCCCGGTCTTCCACACATCTTCAATCATTTTCGCGTTAGTCGTCTGATCGGACCAATGAGGAAACGCCACCACCGAAACCCCAGAAACCAAGCTCTCCAATGTAGAATTCCACCCACAGTGTGTGACAAAACACCCCAGTGAAGGGTGTGATAATACTTCCAATTGAGAACACCATGGCACTACCATCCCTTGTTGCTCCAACTCCTCCATGCAACTTAGTTTATCTTCTTCTCTCTCCTCTTCTCCGTTCTCCTTCGCTCTAACTACCCACAAAAATGGCCTATAACTCTCTAACAACCCTCGTGCGATCTCTTCCATTTGCCTCTTTGGTAGAGACAAAATGCTTCCAAACGATACGTAAACAACCGATGATTTAGGCTTCGAGTTCAACCACTCGGTATACGCGTTTGATTTCTCAAAAAGGTCACCCCCAAAAGAAGTGTCTGATGGGTCTTTTCCATCTAAGAAGGCAGAAGGAATTAGCGGTCCAATCCCAATCAAATTGTACTTATCGATGGCTTTTAAGGCCTCTGGTTCTAGTGCATCGAAAGAGTTAACAAGAACTATTGGGTTGGTTTCTTCATCTAGTGTTTCAAACTGCTCTTTAAAGTGTTGGAGAGCATTGAATTTGTCTGAGTTTGAAGGAAGTATAAAGGAGGGAAGGTCCTGGCTTTTTATCAATGTCAGTCCTGGTAGCTCAATTGACCATGATGGGTCTTTACAATTTTCAACACTGATATCAAAACCGGCATGAAAGTAATAGTAGTATATATGCAAAACTGTGGCTGGTTGAATCCAAAGAAGTGCAGCTGGGATGTGAACCTCACGCGCCACCTCTGCAGCCCAGGGGAGGAGGAGGTTGTAGACCAAACAAGTAATCGGACGGCCTTCATTGGCACTAGTTTTGATGATTTCTCTGAGAGTTTGTGATCCACGGTTCTTAATCTCTGAGACGTATTTTTTGGGATCAATATCACTTCGTTTGAAATTATCATCATAACCGTCGAAGAAGGTGGCGAAATTCAAATCTTTGGGTGGTCCGGTGGTTTTGGTCATACGGCGGTGGGCGTAGAGGCTGGTGACAAAAGTGACCTCCACGCCCGTCTGAATGAGTTGCTTGGCGAATTGGATAGATGGATTGATGTGGCCTTGTGCCGGAAACGGTACAAGAAGGATGTGGCGGCGCACCATGGCGGCGGCGCGAGGTATTCCTTTAATCTAACGTATAACAAAGATAGTATTTGTTTACTTAAAGTTAGGAAGTCTGCAATGAATTTGTGGGTCGGAAGTGGAAGAGATTTGTACGGGGGGCCTTAACATTATATGGGGATGAGAGTTGGACACTTGACGTTTGAGATGACGACTTTGAGAACAGGGTGTAAGATTTCAACACATTGGGAGCTGATTTCAACACTTTGGGAGCTAATTTCAACTCCTATTCACAGGACTTGACGCCTTTGTCCAGGTGACATACTTCGGCGACTATTATTGGGAGCTAAAAACTTCTGAATTGCCAACTTCATATTTTGTGCTTTCTTTTTTCACAGCTCCTTGAATGTTGCATGCTTGCTCTGTTTTGAGGAGTTCAATCTACGAGCAAGAAAGGAACTACTGGCTCCTTCTTCCATTAGTTCTCCCACTCCTCAATGAAGCTGGAGGACGGTGAATGAACAGAACAGTAAGTTGGTTTTGTGCTTTTCATTCGGCTGTAGGCAATGCCAGTGTGTTTATTCCTCTGTTTTTGAATGTACAGTTCCATGTTGATGGAAGACTCTTTGCTTTCTTTGTCTCTTACTAAGTCTAGATTCTATTGAAAGTACTAGCCCAAGACTTGCACTTTCTTTAGAATTCTAGACTCTTGGTTTTGTTGTAAATTTTTTGGTTCTACTTTTGTAATGGGTGGATACGTTGTCATGTGAGCATCACTCTCTGTTTTTTGATCTTGTATTTCTCCTTCTTTCTTTATGAATATAATTTGCTTTCCGTAAGTTAAAAACTTCTAATTATACAAGGATTCATACAATATTAGATTAATAAATAATAGAAAATAAACAAAAAGAATCATCAATTATTTTCAATATATACCAGCTAAACGAATTTATTTTGTAAAATCATGTTGTTCATGTTTGATATTAATCCAATTCATTAATTATTCCTGTTAATATTTTATGTAAATTTTTTAGTTGTCTTTGAAAATCTGATAAAGTCTATCTTGATTGTCCTCTTGCATTAGCATGAGCTTTCTTGGTCTCTCCATCACATTAATTCTTGACATAAAAATTTAGAAAGTTTGTACAACATGTTTTAAGTTTCAACCTATACACTGTGTATTGATTAATATGTACTGATAGGAGCCCATACCAACCCTAAGAATTATTGATTTCTCATGTGACTCACTGTGACTTGATTCAAAACTATACGGATTGTGAGGCATACACAAGTGCCTGAAGAAAATCAGGTAGAATTTGGCATACATGTACACTTTTTGTGGGTATCGTCACATCACCGAATAAATATTAACTGTAACAATAGCATTACGTTATTATTGTCAAATGATATAATCATCTAATAAAAATATAATAAGTGAGCAGTGGATCTCATAATTTAATAACTACTCGCGTAATCTAATAACTACACTATGTAAAGCAATGAGATTCATTTTATCCAATTTAGTGTGCTCCTATTGTATCACGTGATATTATTGATATAGTGTAATCATTACACTGAATATTTATTGACTAGGGATGATTCTCCATAAAAAAGGAAATGTTGTGAAGCCAGACGTGATGAATTTAGATGCCTTAGTTTATTTACAGAGATGATGTTTGGAAGTGTCTCTTAGGCGGCCAATGTCCTAGTGCTTCATTTGAACACCAGAGAGAGAGAGAGAATTATTTTTAATTTGGGTTGAAGACTTCTTTATTGAATACTAGTGGATGCACACTTATGTTGCATGTGAACTATTTTAATTTATAAGTTTAAATTTTTTGTTGTGAAAAACTATTTCATGCAAATTTTGTATCCCTCTTTATACATTTCTTCACATTACCGATGAGTTATATATTCTCTCTTTAAAAATAAAAACACTAAAATTACGTGTATGTATTTTTCAAAAAGATAAATAAAAACTACGCTCAATGCATTTTAAATAAAAAAAAATAGCATACGCAATAATAATAAGAATTAACACTAAAGTTGTTAGAATTAACTAAATACAAAGGCAATCTTCTAATATTCCTTTTCATTTAACAGCATGTAATAATGAGCCATGAAGTAAATACTCTCGTTGAGATTAACATCCCATATTTTAATCCAACACTACTGCAAATAACATATGTGGAAAATGAATGAGGTTGGAATCCACAACCACCTATAAATTAGAGTGAAAACTTATCATTGGGCCGCTCCTTTACTTCATTATATTCTACCCTTTTTTTTTTTATAATTCATTACATTCTACTTATATCCACAAGTAACTGGAAACATAAGTTTCATGTTCTATGAATGAACTTGATTCCAGTTCTTCTGTAAAACAATACATAGTCGTGTACACATGTATCATAGAAGAAAAGAAGATGATAATAGGATTAATGAATAGTATATTTGGTGATGAATTATATATAATCCCTTTTTTTTAATAAGAGTGATCAATTATATATAATCAGCTAAATATTTTTCAATGTGTTGTCTATAATCAACTTGTTATTTTTGACTCTTTGTAAGTAGATATCCATACACATTTTTGTGTTCTTTAACTAAACTGTGCCTAAATCCGAAAAAGGGAAAGTAACCAAATTAAGAGCAAGTTAGTGGTTAAAGAGATCAACTAAGTCAACCAATATAAATGCTAAAACACCAATATATATATATATATATATATATAATAAATTCAACCATAAAGAAATAATGAAAAATGTTGCAGAAAATGAAACTATTGAACTAATAGTATTGACACCTAAAACAACAACTCTTTTTTTCCTTCCCCATATGCAAGCTTCGTTGAGCAGGCATTTCTAAATACTCTGCCTATCCTCAAAAACATGAACCACTAATAAGAGGGGGACATTAAGACAATAAATTGTTTGAACGAAATTCCAATGTCATATAATTAAATTATAACAAAACGATCTGATACAATTTAACACTACAAACTGAATGTCATGAAAATGCTTTCTTTCTTTTTAAGACAATTTTTAGCTGGTAGCATGTCTGATAAATGACCTGGGTTGTGTTGTGATTTCAATCTAAATTTGGCCAAATTTATCAAAATTTGGTAAAATATATTGTGGTATTAACCAAGTCATTCATTCCCATTGACCACCCAATGCAACTCTAAGAACACATGGGATAGGCTCTAGATTGCCGGACTTGATAACCACAAACTTCAACTGGTAACAAATAAATCACTACCCAATGCTCACACAATATTCGAGTTTATTGCATGTGTGGCCTCAACACATTTTCTACGACCAATCATAGCACAAATTCTACAATCTTGAACAGATTGGACATGCGGGATCTGATTTTGAAATTTAGAATCACACGATGAACGACAATGATAGTCCAAATCTATGTTCAGCTACATTAGAACTCCACATTTGTATAACGGCAGAGAAGTTCGGCTGAATTAAATAACAGATGAAAAACTGGTCATTCAGATCTGGTCAAATATTATTCCAATTGTCATGTCTCGACCACCTCCAGAAGTCCTGCTTGAATACTAAACCTTGAAAGGAGTCAAATGCAACATCAAAAATCAATTTAAGAAGCTTTTAAGGAAAATATAATGTCCTATTTGGTAAATTAATCAAACTACTATTACCCACCTTCTTAGGTGCTGCATGAATCCAAAACTTAATTGATGGACAGAATGACGATGCCATCTATCTTCTTATTGGATTCCAGGGATGGAGAAGAAGTGACAATGACGAAGATCACCAGCAACGGTCTTTTTATTGACCTTAGTGGCCGTAAATTTCTGAATCACAGGCAACGATGAATGATTGATTAAGAGAGACAACAAAAGGTTCAAACCACAATGCAACTCCATATTGATATATTGAATATATGGAATGAGCAATGTTATATAGACTTAAAAAGTAAACTTAAAAACTTGATTAGATAATTATAACCATTAATTTCACTGTGAGTCCCAACATTTATTGGGACTCATTACTTATTCAATAGTTGAGATTATCAAGTATAGTTTTTAATCTACTTTTTAAATCCATCTAGATAGGATTGGTATTAATAATTTCATTAGAGATATTTTAGTCAATCAAAATTTTTTTATTTAGTTGCCTTTTATTAGTAGTATAGATATAGATTATGTTGGAGCATTTTGATAAGCTTGAAATTAACTGGGTCAAGTCCAACGAATCAAGAGAGACCCACGTCATCTCGGAGCTCAAGTCATCTCAGAGCCCAAGTCATCAAGTTAAGGAGGAGTCCAAGGAGAACACCCCAAAGGGGCGCTGCCCAAGGGGCTACCCCAAAGGGGTGCCACCCAAGAAGGGTCACCCCAAGGGGATCCCTTCTCTCCTTAGTTCCATGCTCCCTCTCCTGCACAGTCTTTCGTACTCTTCACTTTGTCACTCCGACTCAAGTCCAATCCAACTCAGGATCGTCCTCCGACGGAATAGGAGCACGAGGAAAAGAATATCGAGATATGCACGGAAATCAAATTCTACAATAATTGTACTTACCGAAAAAGTATAAGTCATCTCCCTCATGTCATTGCCTTACTAAGCTTATATAGTGTAAGCTCTCTCACAAGGAGAGACATCTATACACATTGACATGACCTTGAGACCTCTACAAGATCCCTACACATACTACACCTCTCTACACACATTATTTTCTTTTCCTAAAGCATTGTAATACTCTTGGAGAATACTCTCTCTGGCGACTTCATTCATCAATAAAGATCTCCGGCCACTGCTGCCGTTCCCGAGACTGGAGTAAGTCAACCGAACCGAACCACTATAAATCTCTGTATTGATTTCATATTTACTGTTCTGCCATTGATTGCTTATTTACTGCTCATTAATTGTGTCTCTTGATATAATCGACTGTTGATTTTGCGTAATACCAATTTGTAAATCGTCAGTTTGACATCGTTTGTGGGAAACGACTAGTTTTCTACTCTCTTTCAATCCATGACAATCATTATCAGATCGATGAGTCAACAGCCGGGAGACAACAACCCGGCCCACCCAGAGTAGGCTTCGCCTCCCCTCGCACCCTCTGAACCCTCTACTACTGCGGCTGGACAACATCAATAGCTTTTACAAACTATGCAATTGTTGGTAAAATAGAATCAACAGATCATTTAGTTAATACTCACCCAAGGGGGCGTCGCCCCTCACCCTATAGGAGGAGCCCCATTCCCTCTAATGGGGGAGCAGCAACAACCCCTCCCTTTTGGGCGCCAAGCAACCCTTCATCATTGGGGCCCTCGCCAGAATGCCTCAAGGCTACACCAGGGCGCCCCTAGCCCAACGGTCCCTCTTCAGCGTGTAGGGAGCTCACGTGTTCCCCTTCTATATGTACCTGCACAGGAGAACGAAGATGGAGAAAGCCAATATGGTGACCATGAAAGCTAGTATTACCACCCGACTGAGGATGTCCCTAATTAATGGGATGAGAATATCAGAGAGGTGCAAAACCAACTTGGTAATGCCCTCAACGCCACTAAGGCACAAGCGTCCGAGACCGTGGACTATCTGGTTAGAGGCATTGATACACCCTTTGTTACTGATATCGTCAATTATCCTTTACTCTCAAAGTTCAAAATGCCAACCATCAAGATCTTCGACAGTACCAAAGACCTTCTCGACCATCTTGACACATATAAGTCCCTCATGCAACTCCACAACATGCCTGAGGAGATCATGTGTAGAGCCTTCCC